CGGCATATCTTCCAAGACAGAGGCCAGGCGGATGCTCAAAGACGCAATCCCGTCCATGGCGGAAGTCCCTTCGCCTCCGCCGAGCCCTTCCTCTGCTGCCTTGAGCAAGCGCGGCCGAGAAGAAGGTTCTGCGGAAGGTTCCGCAGAGCGTGATCCCGCAGATAGTGCACCCGGTAGTGGTGGTGGTGAAGGGGGAAATCCCGCTTCTTCTCCCGTCAAGAAGGAGGAGGACGACGAGGGGCGCCGTGGCGACAGCGACGAGGGGGGGGGCGGGGGCGCGGCGAGCGAGGAGCGACGAGAGGTATGGCGCTCGCGTCCACGCCCACGGAAGCACGTGTTGCACGTGTTATCTTGCGCTTGTTGGTTGCGATTGGTTGGTTGGTCGGCCGTTTGGTGTGCGTGCTGTGTGCTCGCTTACCTGTGTCGAGTCGAAACCTCGGCGGTGGTGTCGCAGGGCAGAGTCGTCGCGTCCCTCCGTCGCGGGGTTTCCTCGGGCCAAGACCGAAAACCATTTCTATCTCTCCCTCTCTCCATCTACGTGTGCAAATTGGACCCCCCCCCCCTACCCCGGTGTTGTGAACCGTAGCCTGGGCCGGCGAAAACCCGGACATATCGCTCCTCCGTCCCGGCGTTATAGGGATGCGAGGTCTATGGTCTGACGACTACGGCATGCGTTTCCATGAGTACTTCCCCCCTCCCCCCCCTGTGTTCGAGCGCGAGATACCCATGTTGTACCGACCTCTCTACCGAAATTGACAATCCGTTCGTTGCCGCTAGGCTGCTCGGTGCGCGTTCTGCGGCGATCTGGAGCTGTCGCTGTGCTCTACCCTGGTGGAAGGCTCTACCTGGGAAGAGGCCCTGGATCACCAGTTGCAGGTGTGTCGGCGTGTTTGTGTGCCGATTGATCGTCGAGAGGTACGTTTTCGTGGATGTGTTGGGATGTCGATGAAAAGCTTCTTTCGGAATATTTATTTGGAGCTTGTGTCGTTGAAGAAGGTGACATCGCGACACGTGTACGTACAACTAGGTCGTTGGTGGGCTTGTGGAAGGAACCCGGTCGAGTGTGTTTCCAATTTTGAGGCGGGGTCAAGACGTGGGAGATCTCTTTGCGATGTCCTCAGCCAGTGGTTGCATCGGGATTGTTTTTACCCTTTTGGCAATTTAGGACGACTGATTTGTATCAGCAGTGGCGGCAATTAGTTGGTTCTGGGCCAGGCGCCGAGAGCGTAACCCCAACCTGCGCGCGTGAACTGATTTTATTTCGGGCGGCGTCGACAGGCTCAGCCGGCGGCGATCGCGGCCGCCGCCGCTACCGCCGATGCTGTCGGCGACACGGTCCAAGCGGCCACCAAGCGCAGGATAGCGGCCATGGGGATCCTCACGGCCCCCTCTTCCGCTGCCGCCGATTTGGACCTCACCAGGCAAGAACACTCCATTTTTTTTATTTTTTTGTCCTTTTTGGGGTGCATGAGTTAGAGAGATTTCATTATTTGTTTCCGCTGCTGTCGGAACGAGAGTGGTCGAACAACTGCTGTCTGTATTCTTGCTGGACACGACTGGCTGGGGTGCATGAGTAGGCGAGGAATTTTGTGATTTTTTCCGCTGCGATCGGAACGATGGTCGTCGAACGACTTTGTGGGTCCTTGGGCGGACGGGACTAGAGGAAGGGGTTTCCAAGGGAAATTGGAGGGGTTTCCAAGGGAAATTGGAGGGGTTTGTTCTTCCCGGCTTCACGTTGTACTTTCGAAAAAAAACCACCTTCAGGTGCCAGTGGGTACCGGTCGACAAAAGCCTTCCAGACGCTGAACTCCGAGGTACGACTTGTTCTGAGGTCTCCACCGCGACCAGCGGGGGCGGCGGCGACGCGACTGCTAATGGAGCGAAGGTGTGTAACGCACCACGGCTCGTTACATGTAGAACACGGAGCCCCCGTTTCGTCCCGCCCCTCTCTTGTGGTCCAACTTTATTTTGTTCACACTGAAACCTGATGCGCTTGAGAGAACTGTTTGAGAGGTTGCGCTCCCGTTCACACTGAAACCTGATGCGCTTGAGAGAATTGTTTGAGAGGTTGCGCTTCCGTTCACACTGAAACATGATGCACTTGAGAGACCTGTTTGGGAGTTTGCGCTTAGTTCAGACGGCCTTCCCTAGTATAAGAGGCCGGTTAAGGTTGCACTTGGTTCAGATGGCCTTCCCTAGCCGGTTAAGGTTGCACTTGGTTCAGATGGCCTGCCCGGGGTAAGGGGGCTCCGGGCGTGCACACCGGGAGACGCACTGCTCTAGGATGAAAACTCCGTGGAATGCTTTTTTTATTTTTATTTTCATCTCCTCTTTGTGTTGTTGTATCTCATATGTCTACCCCCTTCCTTCTCGTCAAACGTAGTTCACGTGTCTCATGACAAAAAAAAAAAGTGTTGTCTTGTCTCTCGTCCTGATCATGATCGTTCTTGTGGCGGCTTGGCGTGGCTTGGCTTTCTTAAGGCGAAGATCATGCCGGGAAGAGAGCTTGACCCCGTCTCATGCTGTCTTGTCCCTCGTCTTGATCACCATCGTCGTTGTTGTGTTGGCTTGGCTTGGCGTTCTCAAGGTGCAGGTCATGCGGGGAAGCTTGACCGTGCACGAGGTGTGCGCCGAAGGGATGCTCGGCCTGAGAGCCGCCGCGCGCAAGCGCGCGAGGGAGAAGGTTCGGATGAAGGCCCTGACGCTGGCCGCGATGAACCGGTGGGGGGGACGCAGCCTGGTGAGTGCGTGCAGCGGTACCTCTCTTTGCGTCCCCCACTTCGCTCGTGTCGTTCATGTTGGTGGTTGTGGTGGTGTTGTGTTGTTGTTGTGTTTGGTTGTTGCTAGTTGCTGTCGTTGCTGTCAACTGTGCTGGTTTGGGCCACGCCCCGCCCTCTAAGCAGCATGTTGTCCTATCTCCTCAATACAACCCCACGCCTATCCTGCAGATGGAGAGAAAATATAGAGATCCGTGGTCACAACGTTTGTTGCACAGTCGCCAGGCGACGGCAGCGCCTGCCGCTTAAGACCACAGACAGCAAGGGAGGAGCATAGTGGTGTCGAACCGCAACGAAACAAACCGAACCGACACCCATACAGATCTCGCCGCACGGAAACACAAAAGACGTTCCCGCTCGGGTAAAAGAAACTAAACGCTCTCCCCCCCGACCCGTTGTTTGCTCTGCTTCTTGCGAAACGGTACGGTATTGCGTCGCCGTGCAAACATGCGGTATTACCATACGCTAAGAAATAATCTCTCGAACCGCGCTTGCTCTGCTTCTTGCGAAACGGTACGGTATACCGTCAAACACGTGGTATATGGTGTGTAGCCTCTCGGGACGGATCGAGCGGGACAGCAGTACCTGGTCTTCCCCGCCGACCCGCAGAGCGTGTACGTGCAGCCCACCACCGCGGACAAGCTGCAGGGCCTCATGTCGCGGGGGCCGTCGATTGGGAATGACCACCGTGATGACGGCGGCGGCGGTGGCGGTGATGTGTGGAAGGTGAGGTGTAGTTTCCGCCGGGGGGGGGGGATGCGTTAGCAGTTAGACCATTGACCACACGTCTTCGATAGATTGGAGCATGGCACACCGGGGGGGGGGGGGGGGGGGGGGGAACTCATAGTCGTGCATGCCGTAGTCGTTAGACCATTGACCTCGCATCCCTACAAAGCCGGGACGGAGCACGCCGGGTTCTCACCGGACCAGGCTCTCACATCACCAAGCGCGAAGCGCCGTGAGGTATTCGGCGAGTCGCATGAAGGTTGAGCTGCATCCTGCTAAGGGTGTTCGGCATCTTCTGCTTACTGCCTTGCGTACGAATGACAGCTGCGTATGACTTAATTTATTTTCTGTTTTTTTCACTTCCAGAGACAGTTGTAAGCACTGTGTAACTGCCTCGAGGATGCTTGACCATTTTAACACAACGTGGTGCGATCATCCCCCGTTGCGCGGAGTGAGGGTTCTCAACCCCGCACAACATGATCTACTCGACCACCACTCATGGTTGCCGCAAAAAAAAAACAGAGGTAAAAAAAAAAACGGTAACCTGGTTGCCGAGTTCACGAAGTGACTTGGCTTGTTTTACAACGTCGTTGCGAAGCGACGAAAACCCAATCCCGATGGCAAAACACCGGGGGGGGCGTTCGGGTCGTTCGGGGGGGGGGGGGGGGGGGGGCAGGGGCCCCCCTTTTTTAAAGCAAAAAAAAAAACTCATTTTTTGGGGGGTTTTTCCCAAAAAACTTGGGGGCCAAAAAAAAACCCGGGCCCCAAAACCCCAAAAACTGGGGGGAAAATTTACCCCCTACCCACCGGCCTTCCCCCTTGCCCCCCCCAGCCCTTTTAAAAAATTTTTTTGAAAAACCCACCCCCCCAAAACACCCCCCCCCTTTTACCCCCAAAACAAAAGGCCCCCAAACCAAAGCCAAAAACCTCGAAAAGGGCAAACCCCAATCCCCAGCAAA